TCTATTTCCACAATGAAGGATGACACAGAGTGGATCTTTGAGCAGAAAACTTCTTGCAGTGTGCCTGCTTCATGATTCCCAGGCAACGAGAAATAGTTCTTTGGGCACAGGAAAAACGGTGCTTCTGCAAGCCTGGAGAGTTCAGAAAGTTGCCAACTAGTTTTGGGCTCATTCACCTGAATGTCCCACTTCCAGCTTTAAAAGTCCCATACCTTAACTATCAGGGAATTAGAAAGATGACTGAACAGACTCAACAGATCATCTATGTCAATTTCTGAAAGGCTCAAAATCATATTCTGGGCCCAACTATCAGCATTCTGTCTTCTGGCTGAGGAAATTGTACTCTCCTTTGAAGCTACCATTGAAGACCTCTGCCTTTTGCATCATAAGTTAGCTTACATAGGTGAATAGCATGAGTCTATGATCTTCATTTTGCAAAATACCAAATGTCATCAAAATCGGCTAACTATGTAGTTCTTAAAGCTTCCATGTCCCCAGGCCAATCAAGATATTCTTGCCCCTCTTTCCACCTTTATTTCATCCCAACTAACAATGAGAAATCTTTAGTGATTATACATGTAACTGAATGACGGGTACTATCCTCTTTTTACAGTCAGCCATCGGATCCTGTTACTTTCCAGACTAGAACTGAATTAAATGACAAGATCCTACCCCGAAAGTTTGCTTTTTCAAGGACCACTTCTTATACCATTCTCTTAGCTTAGTTTCTCTACAATACAAACCTAAGGCAAAAACACGGATCCAAACTTTACTGGAGAATATAATGCTCTTCTAGGAGTGAAGGAAAAGAGTGAGGCTAGACAAGGGTGCATTACTGAGCTGCCACCAAATGAGCCATGAACTAATTGCTTCTCATGCTAGATGTGTTCCAAAGGGCTCTGTGTAGCTTCTGCATTACAACACAAACCATGCGAGGGAAGATGAAAGGTATTTCATCTGATCATTCCTTCCAGTGGTTAAAGTCTGTGACTATGGTGAACTAATACTCTTCTAGGTTACAAATGTGTAACTAAGCAGGTGCCATGATATTCCCTTCTTCAGAAACGATAGGGCAGTTTCAGGCTATTAACTGAATGTTTGAGTTTCCACATTAAAAAAAAAAAATCCTACCTTAAAGTCCTAACCCTCAATATGATTATATTGGGGTATAGAGACTTCATTAAAGTAACTCTCTAAATTTAGAGAAGGCAAAGTTGTAGGGCTCTCATGATGAGATCGGTGTTCTCACCATAAGAAACACCAAAGGCCTTGCTGGCTGGCTCACCACCATGTGAGGAAAGTGAGAAGGTGCCTTCTGCAAGCCAGGAAGAGAGAAAGCCCTCACTAGAACCCAACCATTTAGATCTTGGACTTCTATCCTCTAGAACCATGAGAGGATAAACTTATCAAGTTGCTTGCTGCATCTGTGGCATTCTGTTATGGCAGCCCATGTGACTAATACAGATGCACAACAATGCTGGCACAGGCTTGAGGTGCAGTGGTGATAGAGTAGGTGAGGGACAACGTGAGACCCTGGCAGCAGTCACTACAGGAGAACAAAAGCCAGGGACATCTTGAGCTCCACAACCTCAAGAGCAGCACAAGCGGCTCCCAGGGACTTCAGGCTGCCATCGAGGCGAGTGTTTGGATGCAGGTTAACAGAATTGGCTATAAAGAGGAAATAGCTGAAGAGTCTGAGAATGAAAGACCCCCACAGTGACAGGGTAAACAAGGGTGTAGCATCTTGGAGGAAAGTGAAATAAAGTCTAAGGTGAAAAGACTCATGTGAAAGGCTGCAGCCGGGACAGACTGGAGTGATAACACTTGGCTTTTGTGTAAGTTCCAATAAACTATATTGCCAATTCCATTTCAACAGAGTTATGGGTCCAAAAGCTTACTTGGTATGAATCCAAGAAATATCAAGGGAATAATTGGTTGCAATGACCAGAGAAAGACAAAAAATTCCCAGATTTGAGTAATTCTTGAGTGTTGTAAAGTGAACATCAAAATGGAATACTAGCAAAAGGAAGAGCAAAGCTAAAAGATAACAAGGACTCCTCCTGGGTTGCGATGTCAAACCCTAACCCTTAAGAGCTGAAAATTATGCTATTGCCTGAAAGCAAAAGAATGGGATTGATCTTGTTTGTTTCCTGTTACACTTGGCCTTTTAGATATGTTAGAACTCATGCTTACAAGGATGACTGTATAATCTAATAAGTACAAGGTGAAGAAATCTAACCTCCCAATCCAAGCCATAATAAAAACATTTGGAGGTACAACTTTGCAAGTCTGAGTTTGTTACACTGATGGACACTCCTGACTAAAGCAGCACCCTTTATCTAAAGACAAAATGGGTTTTACAAACCTACTCGGCCTCTGGGATATTAAGTATTCAATCAGATTGATAGCAATAGCGTTCATCTTCTCCAAATGATCACAAGGCTGATACTAATTAAAATCAAAGAGAACCACCCTGAAGAAAAGTGATTCATAAATGCCTTCACAAAGAGCTATGCCAACATAGGACTTTCCATCCATGGTCATTTAGTACTCCTTTTCCTATGTAAACTCTGAAAAGTAGGAGCCTGCTGAGGAAGGCCTTTCAGGAAGAGTGTGGATAGTCATGTCAGAGCAAGCCCACCCACCTCTGCTGCATAGTAATTTGTTTTTGAGTTTATTCCTCCACAAAGAGACAACAGTAGTCCCAGCCTCCTATAGTATGTACTGATTAAATGGTGTTTTCATAAAATACTTAGAAAATGTATACTGGCACTCAAATTATGTTTCATTCTATTGTAAAATTATGTTTGGAGTTGGAATACTGGGGAATTTGACTCTTAGACCTCGTCCAGCTTCAAGAACAGATTTATTGGGGTCTCTACAGCTTTGAAGGATGACTAAATTAGGGTATCTTGTCTAGGTGTGAGGAGGGCTAGAAAACTAGGAGAGGTGACCACTTCGATGTTTGAGGCCTACAGATATCTCATTAATAAGTTATTAGTCTGGAATTGTAGATAAGTGGTAGAGCACTTACTTAGCATGTGTGAGCACCACATGTAAACAAAACTGAAACTGCATTGGCAACTAAAATACCTTTTTTTTTTAATTATACCAGGGGCTGGGGTGGTGGTTCAGTGGTAGAGCGCTTGCCTAGCATGGGTAAGGCACTGGGTTCGATCCTCGGCACCACATAAAAAATAAACAAATAAAGTGTATTGTGCCCATTAAAAAAAAAACTTAAATTATACCAACATGTTACATTCTATTGTATTTCTTTGTATTCCAAACAGGAGTTTCATTTCATCTCTAATCCTCACGACAACTTTATGGGCCAAGGGTTAACTTCATTTTAGAGATGGGGAAAATTAAAGCGTCGAGATAAATGAAGAAATTGCTCATTAGAGTAGTTGAAAGTAGAACTAGGCTTCCTCTTTTTTTACATAGAGGGCAAAAGCAGCCCTTTTCCTTATAGGGACCTATTAGGAAATCATTTTTCCTTTAGTCGGAGCCTATTAGGAAATCACTTGTTCTACCCTGCCCTCCTGTCTGTTTCTCCTCCTCTCTTGTCTTAGTCATCTCTATGCATTTTGATAGTCAATAAACTCCTGACGGGGCTGGAGATGTGGCTCAAGCGGTAGTGTGCTCGCCTGGCATGCGTGTGGCCTGGGTTCGATCCTCAGCACCACATACCAACAAAGATGTTGTGTCTGCTGAAAACTGCAAAATAAATATTTAAAAAAAAAATAAATTCCTGACTGTCCAGATGGCCAAGGATATGGTCAAAATACTTAATAGGACTATCATGGCTCCTATTAAATTTGAGTGATTTTTTTTTTTCTCCCCCAGGAATATCTTTATTTCAATTCAAGAAAAATGTATGGGTATTTTAAGAGTGAATAAGTCGAGGAAAATGTCTGTGATGGAGTAAGACACCCCTCAGTCTCCTGAAAAGCTTTTCCCAATTCTCCTTCCAAGCTAACAACATACTTGACCCCTTCCTCAGCTGCACCCTTAGAAATAGCCTCCTTGACTATATGGAATGGAACGCACCACATTCGAGACCTTGGGGGCTAGTTGTGATTCTCCTATATCAGTTTATTAACTGCTTCTTTTCCTCACAGGCCTCAGACATTGAGATCTCCCAAGTGCTCTCCCTTCCTAAGAACCAGCTGTGTTTCTTTCACCCGCTTCCCTCTCCCTAGCCATTTACTCAACAATAAGCATTGAGCTCTATCTACACGGTAGCCACTGTTCTTGGTGCTGGAGATATAGTAGTTTTTTTGTTTGTTTAAATGCGGTTCTGAGTCTCTGACCTTGTGGAGTTTACAACCTAGCAGGACAGTGAGTGGCCAAGTGAGTGGCCTTTCCACCTTACCATTGGTACCTGAGAAACTAGCACTATCCAAAAATCATAGCAAACAGCTTCCTTAGGTTCAGTAACCAAACTTTCTAGCGCAGAGATCACACATGAAGGGAACCAAGAGGAAACTAGCACTCTCTAAGCTGCAGATAAGTGCCAGATTAATCTAACATGTACAGTGTTCTCGTGTGTTTCCCCATCACATGCATCCCTTTTCTATTTCTTGGCATAGGATCTAGTTAATATTAAATTTTGGGAGAAGGCAGCAAGTAATGAGGTTCATACAGTTTACCGTAGTTCTTAGGTTTATAAATCAAATGGGAAAGAATTTCAGTGAAGAGATGCCTGTTCACGTAGATATGCACAAACATCCTGTCAGGTAGTTAAATCCCCTGGATGAAATGTCACAACATATACAAGTTTGAAAGTTCAGCTCTGAGTCTTTAATGAGAGAGAATAAAGCTAGGATTACCAGTGATACTTTATGTTCTGTATTCAAAGCTGCAATTTGGAGACTAACAGTGCCCCACAAAGGGATCAACGGTAAAAGATGAGTCACTTTAAAAATCTTAAATTAACTCTTCCCTTACAGCTTACCCAAGCCCAGACTCAAAGGTCATAAGAACTGGGTCCTTTCATTCTAAGAAACATCAACCCGTTTCTGCTGGAAGCGCTTTAGGAGGCCCTGGCGGATCTGCTTAGACTTGATGCAGTACACAATGGGGTTCATGAAAGGTGGGACCAGGAAGTGCAAGTTGGCCATAAGCACTGCCAGAGCAGGGTAGCTGTGCTTCTCCACTCTGTGCAACACAGAGAGTCCTAGTTTGGGCAAATAGAAGATAAGCACAATACAGAGGTGTGACACACATGTGTTGAGCGCCTTGAGCCGCTCCCCAGGTGCTGCAATGGCCAGCACAATCCGTAGGATCAGGACATATGAGAGCATGATGAGGGACGAGTCGAGCCCTAGTGAGAGAAGGATGGAGATCAAGCCAACAAAGCTGTTGACCCAGGTGTCGGAGCAGGCCAATCCCACAAGGTCACAATGTAGGCAGTAGCAGTGAGAGAGTTCACTCATCTGGGGAAAGAGCAATCGCCGCAGGAGAACTGGTGCAGGGAGGTTGAGCAAGACAGCCCTTGCGAGAATGGCAGCCCCCACTTTGGCCATGGCTGAGTGGGGAAGGATTGTGGCGTAATGCAGAGGGTCCCGGATGGCAATAAAGCGATCAAAGGCCATGGCCAGCAGCACACCAGATTCCACATAGGTGAAGGCGTGAATGAAAAACATCTGTGCTGCACAAAGGTCAAAGGGCAGCTCTCGAGCACCCAGCCAGAAGAGCCGCACCATGGTGGGGAAGGTGGATGCACAGAGGCCCAGATCAGACGCTGCCAACATGGACAGGAAGATGTACATGGGTTCGTGTAAGGCTGGATCCGTGCGGATCAGGAAGAGGATGATACTGTTACCCACGATGGAAGTCACACAGACGAGGTTGATGGGGATGGAAACCCAATGCTGAGAGGCTTCTAGGCCTGGAAAGCCAGTGAGAAGGAAGGTAGTGTGAGCCGACGTGCTGTTGTTGCAGGAGAACATAGTGACTCCAGGAGGGAGTTGGCTGCCCTAGGAGTAAGAAGCATCATTCATTTGGTTATTAAGTGTAGGCTGGAAAGGAAGAGCTCTCTCATATGCCAGTATTGCCGGGCTTTGTACCTGCCTCTGTCACACATGTCACCACATGCTATTCATAACCCAAGCAACTATGGAGGTCAGGGCCACATACTGTTCAACTGCAAGGGATGCCATACGTTTCAGTCCATGTGAGTGGAAGCACAGAGGCCCAGATCAGATGCTGCCAACATGGACAGGAAGATGTACCCATGTACATCTTCCTGGAGTTGTGGCTCTCGGTCTATGCTCTCAGTGAGTGGCACTGGCCATGATCCAGAAACTGCATTGGTGACTCCCCACAGTGATACAAAACAGAAGACATGACAATGGTGGAAAGAAGCATTGAGTGTGATGGGTTTGTCTTAGTCTTGTACATGTATAACCTCATAGTCTTGTGGGATATTTTTCTATTTTCTGATGAGAAAATTGGGACTGAGAGGCTGAGTACCTTTTCTGAGTTAATGAAGCTAGGTGCCAATCCAGAATTTAAATCCAAGTCCATCAAATCTTGACACTTTACTGTGAACTGATTCTTTGTCCACAGAATAATTTAAAGGCCCATTTTTCTGTCCCTCTAACTCCATTTCCCTTTAAAGCAAATACAGTCATTTGAAATGGGAACAATATGACCCACAGAAAGGAACAGTCTTCATACTAATTCAGCCAGGCCCCTCTGGGTCCTGTACATTTTTCCCACTGGCTAATCCTCTGGAGGCAGAGCATAAGCTACATTCCCCGTCCACTGCACCCAAGAACACACCATGTCTGACACAAGGAGGCTGCATCCTTCCCCAATGCTGCAGAATTAAAAAGGAGTTCACAATCAGTCCTTTCACATAATAAAAGGCCTCAGAATGGTTAGACATGGGAAAGACTATAAACTGCACTGCCAACACACATATTTGTCATTTATTAAAATGTAATAGTAACTATGAAGCAGGCCAGAGACCCCCACCCAGAAGACCCTTACCATAATTAATCAGAAACCCCCACCATACTTGTAGCATGTAAGTGCTTATCCTGTGCAAAAAGCTCTCTGATATCAGCCATAACAAAAATCTGCAGAAGGCATTGTGGTTTATAGCTTCCTCTTTGTTTATAAGTGCCAGGTTTGGAGGAGGAAAAACCTTGAAACCCCTATCTGTATAGAGAATAGAATGAAATGTGCTTGTCATGAATCCCCTAGCCTCCATCCACCCCAAATGGGTAAACAGTTCAAAGAATTTCTGTACTCATTCTTCAGAGGAAGAATTCCTAGGTGAGAGCCACCTCTGAATCCTGCAGTCTATAAACCTGCTTTCTGAAAATTCCTCAAGTGTCCAGCCTCTTCTGTCCTCCTTCAATAAGATACTACCCCAGAATTTCACAGCTAGTTTTTTATGGCTTCTTTCTACAATGAGGAAAGTTTGAAAGGTGAGGAATCCTTATCAACAGCTACGTTTAGAGTAAAGGGGCTGGGTGTGGTGGTGAACTGCTGTAAACCTGGCAATGTGGGAGGCTGAAGCAGGAGGATCACAGGTTCTAAATCAATCTCTGTAACTTAGCTAGATCCTGTCTCAAAAGGGCTAGGTGTGTAGCTCAGTGGCAAAGTGCTCCTGAATTCAAAACTTAGTTTCTTCTTTTTCCCCTCTAAGACTATGACTCCAAAGCTGGTGTATCTATTCCTCCTCATTCTCATTCTTAAATTTTTTTAAAATATGTCTCTTGATGGTTATAAAGACTAAATGAAAAATATAGGACTTAAAACCATGCCTGGCACATAATAAGCATTAAAATGGTTACTACTTATTGAGGATTTACTACCTCTTGAAGTAGGTATAATTATCATTCCCATGTTACACATGGGAAAACTGAGGCACCAGGTGGATCAACAACTTGCCTAAGGTCAAGAAGTTAGATGTCACTGAGCCAGAGCACAAATTCAGGCAGCCTGGTTCCAGAGCCCACATTCTTAAACACTGGTAGGCTGCAGCATTATTAGCTAAATGATTATCAACACTGTCGATGCTGAAAATATCTATCCCCAAAGGGGATGAAATAGAATTGCATGTTTTCAGGATCACCTCATATTCTTCCCCACCTCCTCCCTGACCATTTAAATGTATCAATCCTTGAGGTTCTGCATAGAAAAGTCCTAAAACAGTAAGGAGCCTATATGCTTATTGACCACCATATATTGCATATTGTAAGTTTAGGTATAGGCTAGTGGCTTAAGAAGAATTTTCTCCTAGAAGTACTAATCTCCTGAGAAGGCAACCAAGCAATTTGGTAAATCTTTCTCATCCCCCACCCCCTTATGTAGATGATGGGTAGGCAGAAGGATGGATAAAGAATCAATGCAGAGTAGATTCTTCTGAGGAAGAACTTTTTTTTTTAAATCAGAAATCTATTCCCAAAAGCCAAGCTATGAGTCCTCAAAGGAAATGACCCAGCTTAAAGAAGGCTGGAGACCCTCTGCCTTCAAGAAGGTTTCTATAGCAACCAAGCATCAGTCTCCAGCACTCAAGGGAATGGGAGGCTCTAAGCCTCTGGCTTTGCAGATGAGTCCTGGGCCTAGAGGGGGGAGTGTAAGTCCTGGCACTGCTGCGGTGGCCTAGCAAAGGATTGGCAGAAACCAGAAACCCAAGTTTTTTCCCAAGCCCATATTGGTGTCATCCAAAACTGGGTCTAACACCCATCCTATCCAAAATAAGTTTAGTTTCAGCATATCTATCTGGGTCAGACACCTATAACCAAAAGTCAGACTGCAGAGTCCCCAGCTCCCCCCAAAATAACTTGGGCTTTCCTCACCTCCAATTGTTTACTAGCTGTTTAAAGTTTTCATTATATGGCAGAGATGACTGCAGAAGGTGTGAGGAAGTTTCTGGGTATCTTCTGCTATGATATTCTTATGAAATAAAGGGGCAACTTTCTGTCCTCTGTAGGAGACTTCAGTTGAAGAGCTGAATAGTGAGAAATACTTTCCAATAATCAGATCTTGGGGTTTTTTTATACATGGTACCGTGCTATACCACATCTCAATATTCATTTTGTTAATAAAAGTAGCACTTTCAATTTTTTTTAAAAAATCTCCTGAATAAATTCTCTGATCAATTTTAAAAAGCCATGTACAGTGGTACATGCTTGTAATCTCAACAGTTTGGGAGGCTGAGGCAAGAGGATCTTAAGTTCAAAGCCAGTCTCGGCAATTTAGCGAGGCCCTAAGCAATTCAGCAAGACCCTGTCTGGAAATAAAAATTAATCACTGAACTACAGCCCCAGTCATTTAAGTGCCTCTGAATTCAATCCCTGGTACCCTAAAAAATAAAAGTGTGCTCTAGATCTGCTGTTCTGGGTTTGAATCCTGGCTTTACTATTTCTATTAGAAGTTTAAGAAACATGCCCCACTTATGTCCTGAACATTCTCTCTTATAAAAGAATAAGAGTACTTTAACTATTGGTGGGGACCAATAGTTCAAGAAAGCCTGAGCCTTAGTGTTATGATCAGCTGTTACGTAAGCTAACTCAGACCTAGAAGGCTATTATAAGATGAAGATTGATTTCCCCACTGCCCCTGCTCAAACTAGTCAGAATATGCCATCATGGAGGAGGTTTAGTGGAGCAACCAGGCTGCAGTTTCAGGCAGTGTCCTTATTCTTGCTATCTTCACCCCATAATAAAATGTCCCACAGTAGACAAAGAAAAGGGAGGGGGATAGGAAAAAAGACAGTTGAATGAATCTGACTCTCCTATGTACATACATGAATCTCACCATCATGTAAATGCACAAGAAATTTATCTTTTCCCTGTAGTTATTTTTAAGTCCCACAGTAGGTTTCAGGATACCTGGCAGATACTGCCTGTGCTAGGAGCACTCATTGTCAATGATCTTGGACAACTATCCATTGATCTCTCCCAGATTGAGGAGGGATAGTGTCTCCTTTCATCATAAGATGACCATCGAGCTCAAAAAGAGCTATGATGTGACAAGACTCCTCACAGATGCCAACTCGAGCAGAATTGGCAAAAACCTTAAGGTAATTCTCACCCTCAGGCTTTGAAATGTCCTGGAAGGAAGTTCCCTACCCTGATACCATTCAGTGCTACTCACAGGCAGCAATGCTGGTGGGGGCTGGAGGTGCAAGGCCGCAGTGCCCTCAGCACAGACCAGGTTTAGATGCCCTCGTCCCTGCACTCACCACAGCTCCAGAGCTTGCGTCTCCTTTCATCTGTCCATCTGTTTGTGAAAAACATTTCTTGCTGTGTCATTAAAAGCCAGTACTTCATAATCTTTCTGATGGAGGTAGGGAAATAACAGGTCTGCTGGGATGCTGGTGCAAATCCGAGAGATTTACATAGTTGAACTTCCTGAGCCCCCTGAGTTCTGGGCCAGGCAGCTCTGGGACTCTGGGGGAAGCATCAAGTAGTGCATCCTGATTTAGCATGGATGAGTTTTCTTAAGGGGCACTGGGAGGACACTAAGACACACCATACTGAATCCCTGCGCTTCCCTCAGAGCCAGCCCTATGAACTGCAGGCTAAATGGAGACAGGTTGGGGACAAAAGAGTAGTTAGAGTGGGACACACTCTGTCCTCGTGGGGCAACAGACCACGAGGAATTTCTGCTTCCAGAAAGAATGAGAGCAGACTCTTGCAAAATTCCACAGTGTAAGAGAACAGGCCGTATAAGCAAAGAGATGTGCATGAGTGCTTTAGACACGGGAAGCATCTTGGGAGAAAGGGAATTCCTATCTAACTTTAGGGTTAGACCTGGGGGATGAAGATGGTTGAAAATAAAGGAATCTTTCTCTCCCAGAAATACCCTTGGAGATTATCCATCAAGCATGATGTAATGGAAAAGCTGAGCTCTATATCTAGATCTTCACTTGTCAACTATGTGGCAATGAGCAAATTACTTCCTTGAGCCTTAGTCTTTATTTGTAAAC